CTGTGCTCGCAGCTGAATCACGTTCTTCCTCCATTTTCTTCCACTGATTGACTGTTATAATTTCTCTAATTTCGAGGTCAAGGTGCTGTGCATTGTGGTTATAGATGTGACATGACGTCACTTCCAAATGACCAATGAACATGTCTGACCAATTTCATGTAATGTGAAAACGATTTTCATAGGCAGAATACATAACATTTAAATTAAACTGGGCATCAGCGCAATTCAATTGGTTTGGTAATAGCAAGGGAAAATAGATGAAGTGATCTCCAAAAAATAAGTACTTTTTGACTAAATAAAATTGTAAGGAGTAAAAAGTACTTTTTTTTATTCTAAAAATATGTAATAAAGTAAAAGTATTGATTTTTATTCGTACTCAAGTAAAGTAAAAATCCCCAAAAATAATACTTAAGTACAGTAATCAAGTAAAATTACTCAAGTACTTTACACCTCTGTTAATAACATCCTTCAAATTGCTCAATCTGTATCCATCTTCCCAGTTGAAGTTATTTCTATGTTTATATATCTGGATGGCTTCATGAACAAACCTTTGATAGTTGCCCGAAGGTTTGCAGAGCACCTTGGTCTCAGTAAAAAACAATATCATGAGAGCCCACAGCGTTATAGCAATGGTCAGCCACGGCGGAGGTATTAGTTCTGCCGTGTTTCAGATCTGCCTTGTGCTCGCTAACATGGTCCGAGCGATGACGTTTCGTTTCCCCATAACCACAGGTACAACAAGTTTGTAGACTCCAGGATATTGCATGTCAGGAATCGCATCCTTCACAGATGGGATTAGATCACGGATTTTGTGTACTGTCCTGAATCGGACCTGGATCTTGTGTTTGTTTAAGATTTTGGAAATCTTTTTGGTAACGCCTGCTATGTATGGTAACGTGATGGTTTTGATCGGCGTCTCAGGGGGTTGTTTCTCCATGGTTGGAGAAACAGCTTTGCGGATAATGCGGTCCGAATATCCATTCATCTTCAGGGCCTAGTGTACGTGTTCCAGTTCACTGGCTAGGTGGTGTTGGTCAGAAATGCAGTGGGGCCCTATGGTTTAGTGTTTTGATCAGGGAATTCTTCTGTGCCAGATGGTGGTGAGAATCAGGTTTCAGCTAGGAATCGCCCAGATTTTACGCTTCGGGACAAGGGGGCTCTCTAGTTGGGGGCAACGATCGATTGGCACGGTCAATGCAGGGGTGGCCAAACTCGCGCACGCAATGGCGACAGCTGGCACACAGAGTGGTATCAGGGGCGGCAGGCACGTCGGTTATCGTCGGGCGCGTACAAGGGGTGGACGTTTGGGTTCTGGTTGACATGGGCGCATCGGCTGCTATCATATCGGAGGTTGTTTTTGAAACGTTGCCTTTTGCGAATCATCGTGTGGTGCCGGTGGTTGACGTGTGCGTGGCGGCGTACAGGGGAAGTATGGGTATTGTAGGTCAAATAGATACTCACATTTCATTGGGGGAGATTGAGATACCAGGGCCAGTATTAATTTCGAGAACATTAGCAGTTCCCTGCCTTTTGGGAACGGATTTTTTTAGTAGGATGCCCCTACTGATTTTCACCGAACAAGTTGTGTTCAGATGCCGTCAGGGCGGCGGTTGTTTTTTTTTTATTCCCCGCATCGACGCGAAATACAGGGGTTGTCGGTCCAGGTTCTGGTTAAGGAAACTTTGGAGATTCTGCCCGGTACTCAAGTTTTGGTCCCGCTGCGTTACCGTAGACGGTTGGACCTGTCTGACCTGGAGGCAGGTGTCCTCCTTACCCTGTCTAAGGCGGTATCCCGGGGGCTTACATTGGTGGGTGCGTTGACGCTGTTGCGAGTTGGTCAGGAGCCGTTCTTACAAGTCCGCAATGTTCGGGTAGAGCCGGTGGTGGTTCAGGCGGGAACGGTGTTAGCCCATGCAATGTTGATGGGGAGAGATTCCCTCAAGGCCACCGGGGATGCCGTGGGAGGCGGAGTGGTGCAGACAGGGGGAGAGGATGAAGCATGGATAGAAAAGCTGTGTGGGGAAAACCCGAAGTTGTCCATGGAGCAGCGGGCCGTGTTGTGATCCCTCCTACGTGAATATTCGGAGGTGTTCAGTAAGGGTAAGTTTGATATTGGGCGCACTTCCCTTCTGCAACACCATATTAACACGGGAACGGCTGCCCCCATTCGACAGAATCTGTATAGGTTAAGCCCGGGGGAAAAGGAAAGCGTGCAACTGGCGGTGGAGGAAATGCTGGCGGCAGATATTATTTCCCCCTCGCCGAGTCCTTGGGGTGCTCCCGTAGTGTTGGTAAAAAAGGCTGATGGCATGGTGCGGGTTCTGCGTAGACTTCCGCAAGTTGAATAAAGTGTCAGTCGCAGATGCGTACCCACTCCCCCGTATGGACGACTCGTTGGATGCGCTATCGGGGGCCAGATTGTTTTTCACCTTAGACCTTTTGTCGGGATTTTGACAACTTCCCCTGGATGAGTCATCCAAACCAAAAACGGCATTTAGAGCACCTCAAGGATTGTACCATTTCAACTGCCTTCCCATGGGCTTACACTCAGCCCCAGCCACCTTCCAGAGGTTGATGGAACTAGTCCTAGCGGGGTTGCAATGGGACTCACTTCTCATTTACCTTGACGATATGATTGTGTTTGGCCGCACTTTCGAGGAACATTTGCAATGGTTGCATTCCGTGTTGTTGAGGACACGGTCGGCATACCTTAAGTTGAAACCTGCGAAATGTCACCTGTTGCAAACCTCTGTGCGATATCTGGGTCACATCGTGGGCGATTCCGGAATAGCAACGGATCCCGACAAGACGGCGTGTGTGCGCGATTGGCCGACTCCTCAGTCGGTGGGGGAGGTGCACAGTTTTGTCGGTTTCGCGCCCTATTACCGAAGTTTCATTCCGCAGTTCGCGATGATCACTACGCCTCTTCATGCTTTAATGGCTAAAGGCCAAAAGTTTAGGTGGGGAGAGGAGGAGAATGCCGCTTTTGTTACACTGCGCAAAAGCCATGCCGATGCGCCTCCCCTGGAGTAGCCGGATTTTCCCCTATCGTTTACCTTAGATACAGATGCCAGTGACACGGGTCTTGGGGCTGCCCTGTCCCAAGTTAAGAACGGCGTTGGAAGGGTGGTAGCGTACAGGAGCCGCATCCTGTCATCCGCGGAACGATGTTACAGCGTGACCAGGAGGGAACTCTTGGCCATGGTGCACTTTGTGCAACAGTACAGGCCTTACCTGTACGGTAGGGAATTCGTGGTCCACACGGACCACGCGGCCCTTCAATACTCCTTGCGTGTGGTTCAACCTTCGGGCCAACTGTCACGTTGCTTGGAGATATTACAGGAATTTTCATTTCGGGTGATTTAACCAAAAGGAATGCCGACGGGGGAGGGCTGTGCTTGTTTAACGGGCGCAGGACGATGTAAGCCACGGGGCGCGAAGCCATCTGGGGTAGTGGCGTCAGTGGAGAGCGCAGCACCCATTGGTAACGTTGCACCGGTAGCTGGAATACTGGGCCTCACGCTTGCCGAATGGGGTCGGTTGCAAATGGATCACGCGTCCTTGTTGTGACTCTGGGGGCGTGCGGAGCGGGAACTAACGAACCCTAGCTTGGCGAAGTCCTCAAAGATTGTGCTGAGGGACGGGTTGCTTATGAGATGGGATGAGGGTTTCAACGCTACGGCCTGGTGGTTCTTACGGTTTTACGGGGTGCGTTGACTCAAGTGGTACACGAAACCAAATTATTACATCTCGGCGTTCGGAAGACGTTACTGACGTTGCAAAGGGGGGGTGTTGTAATGACAGTGTGGGGCGATGGCGGATGGTGTGGCTCCCCGGGACCATGGTCACTAATGGAAGGATTACCGGGACCATGGTTGCTAATGAGTTCATGAGCATTCACGCGACGGGAGCCAATGGTAGGGAAGGACGAGTTAATAAGCATTCCTTAGACGGGAACAAATTGTATTAAGGCATAGGGTGTGGTCGGGCCCGGCGAGGATAAATAGCAGTGTGAGTGAAGGTTCAGGGTTGTGCTTGGTGTGGGGCACTGCGTCGTCGTGCTCTGGGTCCGGGCCGTCTTCATCGTCCGCGAGTTGTCTTACAAGAGGAAGTTATGTTATCCCAGAATCGTGTCGTGTGAAACACCCGTGTGTATATAGTCACTCGTAGTTGCACGTTGAGTTATTGGTTGATATTTATTTGATAATAAACAAATAGAAGAGACGACGCCGTCTCTGCGAGCTATATTACATATGTGTCAGTTGATATGTGTGTACGTCGATGTGTATGTGTGTGTGATGAGTCCATATGTGTGTGAGTCGATGTGTGTGTGTACGTTTGTGTGTGTGTGTGTGTGGGGAGCGGTAGTGTAGCGGGTAGCGCGCTGCGCTGTGAACCCGGCGACTCGAGTTCGATTCCCGCTCACGGCCAACACCGGTGACGGTTGTCAGAACCGGTCCTGGGCCTCCCCTAGGTCGACTCAGCCTAAAATGAGTACCTGGTGCGGTGTGTAAACATCACCACTAGGGAGACAAAGGCGGCCGGGCGTGGTGTTAGCCACCCCACCCCCTCGTGTGCCGTGCCTGCCTTCATAGGTGCTCGCTAACAGCACTTGCCCCTACAGTCTGTTAAGGCTACACTGGGGATATTTGTCTATTTGTGTGGGGAGCGGTAGTGTAGCAGCGCGCTGCGCTATGAACCTAGCGACCCGGGTTCAATTCCCGCTCATGGCCAACACCAGTGACGATTATCTGAACCAGTCCTGGGCCTCCCCTAGGTCGACTCAGCCTGAAATGAGTACCTGGTGCAGTGCATAAACATCGCCACTGGGGAGACAAAGCCGGCCGGGCGTGGTGCTGGCCACCCACCCCCTCGTGTGCTATTCCGGCCTTTATAGGTGCTTGCTAACAGCACTTGCCCCTACAGTCTGTTGCTATACGGGGGATCTTTGTCTTTGTGTGTAACTCCATGTGTGTGTATTTTAAGTCGATGTCTGTGTGTTTGAGTCCATATGTGTATGTGTGTGTGTAGGGCAGTGTGTGTGAGTCGATGTGTGTGTGTAAGTCGATGTGTGTGCATGGGTCCATGTGTGTGTGTAAGTCCACGTGTGTGTGTGTCTTAGTCGATATGTGTGTATAAGTCCGTATGTAATTGTGTGTGTAAGTCCATGTGTGTGTGTGTGTGAGTCGATGTGTGTGTGTGTGTGTCAGTCGATATGTGCGTGTGTTAGTCAATGTGAGAGACGCAGAGGGTGTTGGAGGCCTTGGGGGGCAGGTCTTAGGAGGCTTCTTGAACGCTGGGCTCCAGTGAGCAGCCAGAGATGTCCTCTTCATCAACCGTAGGAAGCTGTGGACAAACCGACCCATTAGACATTACACACAACTAAGTACATATACCAGCTCAACTGTGAATACACACAACAATCAGCACCTCCTACTGGCAGACAAATGTCGATTTCACGCCAGGTGCTGAGTCACCTTGTGCCCACAGGGACATCTGTCATTGAGGGTGCCCTTTCAAACGTGTTGAGATGAGATGTGATGTAAAGCACTCTGAGATGCCCCGGTGAACAGAAAGGTGCTAAATCATTCTTATCGTTATCATTGTTTACAGCAATAATGGAATTGTCTATAGATAGATAATCTGTATTTGTAAATGAGGACCATGACGGCTTAACGAGATGGTTAGACCAGCTCATCATTATCATCATACACTGAATCGTGTGTGTATGAATATTTTATTTACGTTAAACGCAAATTATGTACTTGTGTGTGTGCGACGCACGAGTGCTGTGCGCTCACCTCCACCTCGCTCTGCAGATGCTGCTGCTCTGAGTGTGCGCTCTGCCTGTTGTCGCGGTAGGGCGCCAACTCGGCGTGCAGCTCCACCACCACACGTTCGTACCACTGAATCTCTGCCTGCAGAGATTCCAGCTGCCAATTCCTGTCAATGAGCTGTGGGCCACGGGAAAACGGCGGCAAAGAAACACAGAAAAGCATTTTAACGATTGCGTGCGGTTATTGTATAACATACAGATGCAACAACAGACACATAGAATCGCAATCTTTATTTATAATTGAGCAATGTAATGAGCTATTAAGCTCTTTTACACAGATGTCCATACACCACCTATGACCAAATGACCAGAATGCACCCAATCATCTCAGATCTTGGAAGAAAAGCATGGCTGAACTTCCATAGTGCTTGGATGGACGACCACCATCCATACAACCCACATATATGAATTAACCCAAAAGCTGCATTAAAATATCAGATTAAGATCGCTTTCCAACCAAACACGGGGAGTGAGATGCACGTAGCAGAGGGGAGCAGATGGTCTAGTAGTAGTAGGTACTTCTATTAGAGGTGGGATGGTGGATCGTAACGTGGTACAGTCCCTAAATAGAGGATGCTCCGTAACCCAGTACGCATCCATACTGTACAACCATTAGTATGAAAAAGAAGTGGATACAGGCAGTCATCAACTTATGAACACCTGACTTCGGAATACCCGACCGACGAACCTGTTTCCATGAAATTTTCGGTTACCATTGACTTAAAACGCAAACTCGCACTTGCAAACTGAACTGTGGAACTATTTTGTTCAGTGCAGCGATCCTCCACGAGATGCCATGAGTCAGCCTCGTGCTGGGAGTGAATGTAGGTGTGCACACGCACATGTGTGTGTATGTGAATGTGAGTGTGTGGGGAGCGGCACTGTAACAGTTTGCGCGCTGCACTACGAACCCAGTTCAATTCTCACTCATGGCCAACACCAGTGACAATTTTCTGAATCGTTACTGGGCCTCCCCTAGGTCGATTCAGCCTGAAATGAGTACCTGGTGCAGTGCATAAACATCGCCACTGGGGAGACAAAGCCGGCCGGGCGTGGTGCTGGCCACCCACCCCCTCGTGTGCTATTCCGGCCTTTATAGGTGCTCGCTAACAGCACTTGCCCCTACAGTCTGTTGCTATACGGGGGATCTTTGTCTTTGTGTGTAACTCCATGTGTGTATTTTAAGTCGATGTCTGTGTGTGTGAGTCCATATGTGTATGTGTGTGTGTAGGGCAGTGTGTGTGAGTCGATGTGTGTGTGTAAGTCGATGTGTGTGCATGGGTCCATGTGTGTGTGTAAGTCCACGTGTGTGTGTGTCTTAGTCGATATGTGTGTATAAGTCCGTATGTAATTGTGTGTGTAAGTCCATGTGTGTGTGTGTGTGAGTCGATGTGTGTGTGTGTCAGTCGATATGTGCGTGTGTTAGTCAATGTGAGAGGCGCAGAGGGTGTTGGAGGCCTTGGGGGGCAGGTCTTAGGAGGCTTCTTGAACGCTGGGCTCCAGTGAGCAGCCAGAGATGTCCTCTTCCTCAACCGTAGGAAGCTGTGGACAAACCGACCCATTAGACACTACACACAACTAAGTACATATACCAGCTCAACTGTGAATACACACAACAATCAGCACCTCCTACTGGCAGACAAATGTCGATTTCACGCCAGGTGCTGAGTCACCTTGTGCCCGCAGGGACATCTGTCATTGAGGGTGCCCTTTCAAACGTGTTGAGATGAGATGTGATGTAAAGCACTCTGAGATGCCCCGGTGAACAGAAAGGTGCTAAATCATTCTTATCGTTATCATTGTTTACAGCAATAATGGAATTGTCTATAGATAGATAATCTGTATTTGTAAATGAGGACCATGACGGCTTAACGAGATGGTTAGACCAGCTCATCATTATCATCATACACTGAATCGTGTGTGTATGAATATATTATTTACGTTAAACGCAAATTATGTACTTGTGTGTGTGCGACGCACGAGTGCTGTGCGCTCACCTCCACCTCGCTCTGCAGATGCTGCTGCTCTGAGTGTGCGCTCTGCCTGTTGTCGTGGTAGGGCGCCAACTCGGCGTGCAGCTCCACCACCACACGTTCGTACCACTGAATCTCTGCCTGCAGAGATTCCAGCTGCCAATTCCTGTCAATGAGCTGTGGACCACGGGAAAACGGCGGCAAAGAAACACAGAAAAGCATTTTAACGATTGCGTGCGGTTATTGTATAACATACAGATGCAACAACAGACACATAGAATCGCAATCTTTATTTATAATTGAGCAATGTAATGAGCTATTAAGCTCTTTTACACAGATGTCCATACACCACCTATGACCAAATGACCAGAATGCACCCAATCATCTCAGATCTTGGAAGAAAAGCATGGCTGAACTTCCATAGTGCTTGGATGGACGACCACCATCCATACAACCCACATATATGAATTAACCCAAAAGCTGCATTAAAATATCAGATTAAGATCGCTTTCCAACCAAACACGGGGAGTGAGATGCACGTAGCAGAGGGGAGCAGATGGTCTAGTAGTAGTAGGTACTTCTATTAGAGGTGGGATGGTGGATCGTAACGTGGTACAGTCCCTAAATAGAGGATGCTCCGTAACCCAGTACGCATCCATACTGTACAACCATTAGTATGAAAAAGAAGTGGATACAGGCAGTCATCAACTTATGAACACCTGACTTCGGAATACCCGACCAACGAACCTGTTTCCATGAAATTTTCGGTTACCATTGACTTAAAACGCAAACTCGCACTTGCAAACTGAACTGTGGAACTATTTTGTTCAGTGCAGCGATCCTCCACGAGATGCCATGAGTCAGCCTCGTGCTGGGAGTGAATGTAGGTGTGCACACGCACATGTGTGTGTATGTGAATGTGAGTGTGTGGGGAGCGGCACTGTAGCAGTTTGCGCGCTGCACTACGAACCCAGTTCAATTCTCACTCATGGCCAACACCAGTGACAATTTTCTGAATCGTTCCTGGGGCCTCCCCTAGGTCGATTCAGCCTCAAATGAGCATCTAGCGCGGTGTGTAAACATCACCACTTGGGATACACAGGCAAATGGGTGTGGTGCTGGTCACACAACCCCTCGCATGCCATGCCGGCCTTCATGGTGCTCGCTAACAGCACTTGTCCCAACAGTCTATTAAGGCTATACGGGGAATCTTTGTGACGCCGAATGCTGTGCGCTCACCTTCGCCTCGCTCTGCTGGTACAGCACTTGCAGATCCTGCAGCTGTGCGTGCAAGCTCTGCAGGTTTTCGTGGGATGGTCCCAGCGCAGCATGCAGCTCTGCCACCACGCGCTGGTAGCCCAGAATCCCCGCCTGCAGGGATCCCAGCTGCTTGTTGTTCTCAATGAGCTGTGTGGGCCACGGGCATAAAGCAGCAGAGGAATATGGCAAAGCGTTTTAATGACTGCGTGCAGTTACGATAGAACATTCAGATATAACAAAGACATACAGAACCAGTATCTTTATTTTAAATATAGGAATCTGAACAGCTATGAAAATCTTTCACATATGTCGATACATGACCAAATGACCCAGAATACACCCAATATTATATCTTAGAAGAAAAGCACGGTTGAACTTTGATAGTGCTTCGATGGGCGACCACCATCCATACAACCCAAAATAACACCTATAAAAGCCCATATATATGAATCAATTAACCCAATAGGTGCATTAAAAGGTAAAATTAAGGGATGGGATCGAGATGCGCGTAGCCACAGGGAGATGGTCTAGTAGTAGTAGGTACTTCTACTAGAGGTGGGATGATGGATCGTAATGTGGTACAGTCCCTAAACAGAGGATGTTCAGTAACCTAGCGCGCATCTATACATCAGTGTGAAAAATAAGTGGATGTAGGCAGTCCTCAGCTTACGAACACCGGACTTACGAACATCCACATTTAAGAACCTGCTTCCATGAAATATATATATCTTTTTTAACACTGACTTTAAACGCGAGCTCACACTTGAAAATTTAACCGCGGAGCTATTTTGTTCAGTGGAGCGATCCCCCGCGAAATGTAATGACTCAGGCTCGTGCTGGGAGTTAGGCTTTGTGTGTGTGTGTGCGCGGGCGCACGTGTGTGTGTATGAAAGTGAATGTGTGGAGAACGCCTTGAGCTCCTCCCTCAGCTGCATGAATACTACCTCGTCTTTCTGAGCCTTATTACAGACAACGATCATTTTACCATCATCATCATTAGCATCGTCATCATGAGTAGCCATGATCCGTCCACCTCTGAATGATTGTACTTTTTGTGATACTGCTGGATGAAGGTTTCCCTGAGCCATACCAGTCATAGGAATTGATTGATCATACTTCATCACACTGGTCAGCAAGAGGTGGTACACCCAAAACTGGTTCAGATATCACTGGCCATCGATGCTACCCATGGCTGGAAATCAAACTCCAATGGCTTGGTTCAGAGTGCAGAAGACGAATCACACTAAATTACTTTTTTGTATATAATCACAAATATTTAGTTTTCTTTCTACCTGTTTGTATATAACTTCCATTGGTTTCAAATGCCGTATGTTCTCCCTGTTGTAATCTGTTACATCGTGTGGTCTGTTTTAGGTACTTAACTCCCTGTATTGCATTGTTTGTGCATTACTTTGTTCACGATAAAACTTAATTGCTGCATTGTGTACTATTATTTCGACCGCACAATGACCATTCTGGTCTCGGTTACTCCTTTCATGTTCCATGATCACATTGTTTTTGAACAAGGCACCGATTTAATAATCGCGGGGGGGGGGGGGGGGCGACAAATGTATCCCCGGCCAAATTGTCATTGGCACATTTTATATTTGGCGATTTAAGCACGACAACCGCACAAGGGCCTCGCCCTCTTGTGAACGCTACCACAGATGTCTTCAAACTAAAACTGTCATTATCCTTATTTTACCACAGAGGTATATAACTCTATTTCAGAAGCGACCTGTCACAAATGAAAGTTCAAAGAAGTGGCTTATCATGTGGAAATCTTTTGCAGCCAAATAATCTAAACACGTTTCTGAATGTGGAGGGAAAAACCGGAGGACCCAAAGAAAAATCCACACGACCACGGGGAGAACATGCAAACTCCAAATATACAGGTGTCAGGCGAGGTAGTTAACATCTAACATCTCGCCACCATGGCGCCCCTCTTCAGTGCCAATCACGGCTTCGTCACGCGTGCCCGTGCGAGAGGGGGTAAACTAGTTACAGGCCTAGTCAGGGCTTGTCTTGTTTAGTCAATTGTAATTACCTCATCCAACATTCACCTATCTGCAGGCAAAATTAAAAGGCATGATGGGGGAACCGATCCTGTGGTCACAATTATACATTTTGCCATATAGAAATGCATTATCATACTACATTAGAAAAAATAATAATGGCTGATTGCCTTCCTGGCTGCATCTATGTTACTTTATAACCCCTTCAGGTTTCAGCCACCTGTGATTAAGCCAGGTACACATGTGCATTAAGTTAATCATCTCAGCCTGGTCATCAATGACTGCGCAGAAAAGCCCAGGAAAACAATGTTGGCTTTGCATTAAATCGAGCTAAATTCCAACACTGAAAACCAAAGATCTGACTGTTTTGTGGTGAAAATTACTCATTACTCTCCATAGCAGGGCAGGTCTCAAAGTACTTCCTTCCATTGTGTGTTCCAGAGGGCACTTAAAGATTTCTCAGAAGTAGTACTGTGATATATGCTTCTGCGGACCATTCTCTAACCTGCGATGGTGCACTGCTCAGCGGATGGGGACAGACCCCACGTGCACACAAATAGAGGTGTGGGGCTGCAGCTTAAGCCTCTGGTTACCTGGTGCTGCAGCCCGTCGATCTGGCCACGCATGAAATTCATCTCAGCATCCGCGTGATGAACTGTGTACTGCAGCCGCACCACTTCCTGTGCCGTCCCGGCCTCCTCTGCCCT